ATAGATAGGCAAATTTTAATGTAGACCAGGGGTTCTATAATTAATTCATAGACCCCCTTATTTATCTCATATATAATTATCTTTATGATTTTTTTGTTTTGATGCTTTCATCACTTTCATCTTTTTGGTGTTTCGTGTTTGGTGTTTTCTTTGGTGCTTTGTTCTTTTGGTGCTTCATTCTTTGGTGTTTTATCCTTTTAGTGCTTTGTCAGTTTTAGGTGCTATGTCTCTTAGATGTTTTATTGTTTTGGTATTTTATCATTTTTTGATGTTTTATTATTTTTGGTATTCTGTTTCTTTGGTGTTTCATCTTTTGATAGTTTATTAGTTTTTAAGTGCTTTGTCTTTTTGGTATTTTGTTATTTTGGTGCTTTATTATTTTTTGGTGTTCTGTTTCTTTGGTGCTTTGTTCTGCTTTGTCTTTTTGATATTTTGTCACTTTGTCACTTCGGCGTTTTGTCTTTTTGGTATTTTGTTACTTTGGTGCTTGTCCCTTTGATGTTCTGTTCTTTTGGTATTCTATCCCTTTAATACTTTGTTATTTTTTGGTGTTTTATCTTTTTGGTGCTTTATCAGTTCTAGTACTTTATCTCTTTAATATTTCTTTGTTGTTTGGTGTTTTGTTCTTTTGGTACTTTGTTGGTTTTAGGATTTTTGTTCATTTATTCAATATTTTGTTACTTTGGTGTTTCATTACCTTGGTATTTCATCTTTTTTTAGTGTTTTTTTCTTTTGGCACTTTGTCTCTATTGTTTGGTATTTCATCATTTTGGATCTTGTTTTAGTGTTTTTTTTGCAGTTTTATTAATTTTTAGTGGTTATATTATTTTTTTATTGTAATTTAGAATTGTTTTAATCATATCATAATTATTTTAAAAATAAATAAAATATTTTAAATAATTATAATTTATCATTAATAAAAATTTTTTAAAGATTAAATGAGAATATTTTAGTAATTACATAATAAAATTTAATAAAAAGGCTCAAATATAGTATAGCTTGCCCTTACTCTAAAATTTAAGGTATGCATTCTAAAGATTGGGGTATATATTTCAAAAAATAGGGTATATACCCTAAAAAACCCTATTCGGCCTAGATTATACAAAAAAGAACCCTGGACCCTAAAAATAGAGATTATATGATATATACAAAATATATAAATTGCACCATGATGTTTAATACCATATTATGTATGTAAGTAAATAATAAATTGAACCAATCAAAATAAAATAATTTTGATTTATAATAATATGTCAAATACATGCACTAATGCACTTTTTACTTTTTTATTAAACAATATGATAACGATAAACAATACGCAAAGCATAAAAAAAGTAGTACAAGTAACGCAGCTATAAATAAAGACTTTTCTCTCACAGATTTTTTTCAAAAACAACTATTAAACTTTTCTTGCTGTGACTCTAGTGGTGCCAAGAAATCTTTTGTTTGTGGTGACCCTTGTGGTGCTGCTAAAGAATTTGTTTGTGATAACCTTTGTGGTATTAAATTTCATGTTGCCAAGAAGCCTTTTGTTTATAGTAACCTTCGTGATACTGAGAAATGTTTTGTTAGAGGTGACTTCCATGGTGCTAAGAAATCTTTTTTTTGTGATGACCATTGTAGTGCAAACTATTCTATCGTCCATGACCATTCTATTGTCAATGATAATTCTATCATCCACAACTATTCTATCGTCCATGACTATTCTATTGTCTATGACCATTCTATCGTCTATGATTATTTTATTATCTACAACTATTCTATCATTCACGACCATTCTGTTGCCCATAAACTTTCTGTTCATGATCATTCTGTTGCTCATCATTCTGTTGCCCAAGATCATTCTGTTGCCTATCATTCTGTTGTTCATCATCCTGCTGCCCATAATCATTCTGTTGCCCATGATTATTCTGTTGTTCATGACCATTCTGTTGTCCACAACAATGCTATTGCATATGACCTTGGTCAATTTGTTTGATCCGCTATTCACAATCACAGCCAACAGTTATCCTCTAACTATGTAGCAGAAGAACAATCTTTTAATAAGTTTTTTCAAGAGACTGAAAATAGCACTGGATATGAAAATGAAACCAAAGCTGAAAATGGATTGTTACATCTAATTGCAGTTGGGATAGATTTTAAAAGCTAGGAAAAAATTGATGAGTAAGTAGTTTGTGCATCATTATTGGAACATATTAGTTGTAAAGAAAATAATTTTATGATTAAATATGAAGTTGTGAATGCATTTTAGTTGTATTGATAAGACTAAAGTATTTTTTTTTTTTACTATTAGATGGTTGAAGTTTCATGGGTTAGAACAAGAGTTTGCATTTACAATCACACATAGTGACAAAAATAAAAGTGATAGTTCACCTAGACAATGTATCTACGCATGCACAAGAAGTTGGCCATATATATCAAAAAAGGAAGTCTACATTAATGAAAGTTGCAATAAGGGCATAATACTGGTGATTGCAAGTTTCACATTAATATTCATCACCAGAAGGATAATCTAATCTACATAACAAAGATTGAGAACCAGCATTACCATGAGCTTGTGAGAAATATTAATGCCCTTTTATCACATTATAGAAAGCTAACTCTAGCAATGTGTAATGATATAAAATTACTAGCAAAATGTGGTGTGAGAGTTGGTGCAATAATTGAGGTTTTGCAGCATAAAAATCTAGGAAAATATATTTACCCCACAATATCTATAATTTCACTCAATCTATTCGCCACCAAAATTTTGTTCAGAGTGATGCTTGCTTTGTATATCTTGAATTAATGAAGCAGAAGCAAGAGAATTCGGCCTTCCATGTTGATGCTCGATTTGAAGGTCAGGATAATCATCTCGCAAGACTTTGCTAGATAAGACCATCTCAACAAGAGCTTTGGGCTCATTTTTATGACATTATTCTTCTTGACACAATGGCAAAAACTAACCATTATTCAATGATTTTATGTGTTGTAGTCCTTGTAGATAATTATAACTACTCCTGTCTTGCTGCTATGGCTCTTCTTTCTGATAAAACCAAGAACAGTTTTACATGGCTATTTACTAGCCTTTTAATGCAACAGGGGGTTAGCACCAAGCTTGCTTTATACTGATGCTAATCTTGCTATGATCGCTGTAGTAAATACTTCCTGGCTGATGACAAAACATCATTTTTGCCTATTTCATATATGAAAGAATTTAGAAAAACATTTTATAAGCAGATATGGTGATGATAAGTAGCATAACTTTTTTCTGCATTTTGTTATGTGTGCAATAGTCATGTAGAATCGATTTTTAAAGAAAGGTGGGCTGTACTATTAAATGAATATCCAGATGCTACAAATTACCTGTGTTGCCATCTTTATTAGTATCAGAAAGCCTAGGTATTTTGTTATACGCACCAGGCGTTTAATGCAGGAATACAAAGTACGCAGCGTGTCAAATCCTACAATAGAATTATTAAGAACAATGTTAATGAAAAATCGTCGCTTTTAAAACTTGAGCATGCAATTGAAAAATTGTTAGTAAAAAAAAGCTGGTTCGTTAATTTTAATGAAGCTATTGGTAAGCTGTCTGCAAGCCACGATGAGGATTACCATGATCATTACTTCCAAAAAGTTGATATATCATACCAACATTATTTAACACCGGCATTACTTAAATTACAATAGCATGAAATGAACAGAAGTATGTATTATCGATACCGATTAGCTAATTTGGATTGCGAACTTGGATGATAGGTGTGTATTAATTATTCAATTTGTACTTGACAGAAATTTTGACAGAATATAGGATCAATTGTATTGTCACGTGATACTGGAAAACAAATATAAAAAAAGCTTTGTTTATATTAAGGTTAAGGTTAGGTTGAGTTGGATTAGAGTTAAAAGAGCAATAATTTAGTGAGAAATTTGTTGTTAGAAGGAGCATTTATTTTGAAAATTTTTTAAGAATGTTTGTTTTGAACTTTGCTTGTTTTGAATTTTTTGCATTACACCTGTTTCTGATTTTTAATTGGCTGATTGATGTAAGAAAATCATGTGACAATGAAATCGATCTTATGTCTCGGTATTGTTTTTTTTGCAGATATCTTATATTATACTTTTTATTTTAGATTAATTCTAATTTACCAAGAGGCATGTTTTCTGAGAATATGTTTGATGTCTGCCTAGTAGAACTTAATCAGCTGATTTCTGGTCTTGACATGATAAAAATTCGTGAACTATGGCATGTGCACTTTATTAATAAGAAGAGTGAACATTTTGTCATATTATATAATGACTTCGGGCACCTCTGTATGTGCTTAATATTGATAAATCGTAGCCTTATATGTCATCATTTTTTTGCCACCATGCTTGTATTCCCGAATGCTAAATTCCACATTGGACTTGTACCACAATGTTGGTATCAAGATTCATTTGCGCTAGAGGCTGGTTTTTCTGCTGAGCCAGAGATTTCAGCGATATTGTGTGAGAAATTTGGTGCTGTTGAATATAATACTACCAACATTGATTTTTCATACTTGGATGATCTCTGGGGAAATTATATCTTTACTGATGAAGTTTACAAAGAAATGATTTGAAAACAGCAATGGGAAAAAGGATTTGGTCTCATGAAAAAACATTAAATTTGGCTATTGCAACAGGTAAAGTAGAGGAGCTTTATGCAATCTACAAGGACTTTGTTAGTGAAATAGAGAATAAAGTTGCAAGTCAAGTCAGATGTGATGATAATATTGCTGAGTTCGCATTTACTATCAACAATCCCATAGGTATTAAGACAAAGGGTCAGCCCAAAGATTCAAATAACGCAAATACCAATATTAAGGAAAAAGAAAACAGATACCTGGATCTGATCAAGAAGACAAAGAATATAAGGCCAAATGACCTCAAAAAATACTACAAGATGCAGAGTTAAATGTTAGTGAATCTAGTAAAACCAAAGGAAGAAAATGTGGTATTTGTAATGAAGGAGGGCACAATGCTTGTACTTGTTTTAGAGGAGTTAGTATGATGTTGGAAGCCTTGTTTTAACAAATTGTAAATTGTATTTGAATTTGAAATCAATAAAGCAATTTTTATTGCACTAAACTTGGATAATATATTTAGAATTAGGATTTAGGATGATTTTTTTGTCTTTCGAATTTGAGTTATTTGGTCCAATCAATTAGGGATCAAAACTGTTTAATTCACAACACTGGGCCTAAAAATTAAATATTGGACATATAGATTCTAATTGGAATATATAAGTCCAATTCAAATTCAAATTACTGTATTTATGAAAGTAACCAACACTAGTCAATATGATTAAATAGCTAGGAAATTTTAGACGGTTCTGATCTAAGATTCCATTTTATAATATTTTGTATTCATGTGTAAAAGGTAATTTCTCTTATTATCAAAGCAGCCCTCAAAGTGTGGATCACGAATTATACTAATTTTGTCTTAACTTTATTGTTATTTTAATTTATTATTACATTTATCATAATAAGAGATATTAAATCAGAATCTCTTAATAAAACATCCATTCCATATAATTATATTATGCCTAAAGCTAACTGAGATGCTATTGAATGAAGTCACAAGGCATCTATTTGTTATAACATTAGAGGGAGAGATGGTAATAGTGTCCAATTAGTTATAGTAGAGTTTTCGATAGCCAGGTAGATAGCCTGAATATCCAAAGTAAATTTGGTAGCCCGATTAAACAGATTAGATATCAAAACTATAACTAAGAGAAGTAAATAATGTAAGAGTGAATAACCGATCCTAGAGAATAAGCTGTAGACCACATAAGCAATGAGATGATATTCTATATAGTATATTTTTTGTTGTTCGTGTGATTGAGTAACAAATTGGCATGCATAAAATTGCTCATCTAATTCTGAGTGTAATACTAGCATCACTTATTTTAGCTTTATTTTTATTGGTCCAAATTTACTGGTGTTCAATATCAGGTATATCAACATTCTTTTTTTTGTTTATTTTTTTGTTTATAATTGATTATTATACAAAATTGTCAATCGATGATTTGATTGGCTAGATCAAAATGTGATGTTGGCACCAGTGGTGCAATATATCAATGTTCTATATAATATATCTAAAAAATGGGGTATATATTTCAAAAAATAGAGTATATACTCTAAAAATTATATAAAAAAAAGGTATTATATAGTATTATATATATATATGTACATGGGTTCCCCTGTAATAATTCTGGCCAAAAATTGGTATAATTCTGGCCAAAAATTAGTATAATGCTGGTAAAAAGAAGAAACCTATACTATATTTTAGCCAATAAAAATTTTTTATTTAAAAAAAATTTTAGGCTATACAAAATTAATTAATTGGTTTTTATAACCTAGCTGGATCAAAATTTGAAATTTTGTAAAAAAATTTTTATATTTTTAATAATTGAATAAGCTTTTTTATATATGAAAATTAAAAAAAACTGACTAGCTGAGTCTATTTAAAAGTTTCATGTTATGAAAACCAAGATATTAAATTTATATGGCCTTATTAAAATTTTTTTATTTCAATTTTGCAAAATTGCAAAATTAAAATAAAAAAAAATTTATTTGGTTAAATAACTTTCACTCAGTTTCTAAACATGCTAAGTATTAATTGACTAATCATATTTCAAGTTATCCTAGTCTATAATAAAATTGTAGACCCCAGGTCTATATTAAGAGTCTTTATAATAGATATATACAAAATCACATAAATTGGTATATATCTATAGACTGTCTGCTTCAGCATTATAAACAAGCTATAGACTGTTCTTAGAGACAGTTTAAATCATGTGAATAGTTGTTAGAAACAGTTAAAGTAAGGTGTCCAGGATTATAATCTGGTAAATGCCAAATTATGCATCTGGTAAATTGCAAATTATACAAATTATACGAATTTTGAGTTATTAGCCAATAAGATTTCAAAAAGAATAACAAGTTAGGTGATTACAGTTACTAGTTTATTCATTTA